GCGATGGGGATCGCTGGGGCGAAGCGATGACGATCGCTTAGGGAGAGGGGAGCGATGGGGATCGCTGGGGCGAAGCGATGGCGATCGCTTAGGGAGAGGGGAGCGATGGGGATCGCTGGGGTGAAGCGAGGGCGATCGCTCGGGCGGGCGTTGGCGAGGATGGGCTCGCGATGGGGGCTAGTTGCTCAGCCGTTTCGGCTCGACTCGCGAGTGACGCGCGTCGCTCGTGGCCAAGCGGCGGTGCGATGCCCAAGCGGCGGCGCGATGGCCCCGAAGCGGAGTCGGGTATCCGATGTCCGCGACCTCAGGCGGCCAAGCGGCGTCGGCTATCCGATGCCATCGCTACGCATGGCGTATCTGGCAAGGCCCTCGTTCGCATCGCCAAGAAGCTCGCGAAGCCTGGCCATGCGCAAGAGCTGACGGCTTACGCGGTCCAATCCACCATTGAGGGCGTATTCGACGACGTCGGGGCGACAATCGAATTGCCCATGCAAGATAACGAGCCGCCCTTCGCTTGGAAGCTCGCCAGAATCGACAAGCTCCTGCGGTATGTTTGCAAGGCCAGCCCCGTGTACAGTGAGCTTCTCGCGGTGGTCGCGAACCGCGTCCGCGGCGCGCCGCTCTCGCTGGTGCTGTACATGGACGAAGTGACACCAGGCGACGCGCTGGCCCTGAGGCACGATCGGAAGTTCTGGATGATCTTCTTCACGTTCCTGGAGTTCGGGGCTGACATGCTATGGAGGGAAGAGCTGTGGCTACCGCTGGGGTGTCTGCGAACGAAAGCGAGCAATCGCGTGGACGGCGGCATCTCCTGTGCCACTCGACTCCTCATCAGGGAGATGTTCTTCGGATCCTCCAGGCTCGCGGGAGCTGGCGCGCACGTGGAGCTGGCCAACGGCACTCCGATGCTGGTGCGGGCGCGCCTCTCCAATCTTCTCGCAGACATGGATGCGTTCAAAGGCATTCTGCGTTTGCGGGGTGCCAACGGCTGGAGGCCTTGCTTGCGATGCAAGAACGTGATCTTGAAGGGCGGTTCCGTCGACGGCGACGGCGGCTACTTCGTCGACACCTGTTGTCACGAGCACGCGCGCTTCGATCGTCATTCAGACGCCGACGTGTGGAAACTGCGGGACGACCTCGCCGCAGCGGCGGCGACCGCGGGACAGCCTGGCCACATGACGAAGGGCAACTTCCAGAAGCTCGACAAAGCCAGCGGCTTCAACTACCATCCCAATGGCTTGCTGGAGGATAAGGAATTGCGGGCGATAATGAAGCCGTCCGCCATGACGTATGACAGCATGCACAACCTATGGAGCAATGGCACCGTTGGCTGGGAGGTGTTCGCGTTTGTGAAGGCGTGCCAGAGAAAAGCTGGCATCGGATGGCCCGAGCTTCACGCGTTCACGCGGCGCTGGCAGTTCCCGAGGTCGCACGGCAGAACGGCAAAACATATGTTCACGCCTGGGCACGAGACCGCGTGCAAGAAATCATTCAAAGCAGGCGCCAGCGAGCTGATCTCGACCTTCTTCGTCCTTTTGGCGTTCGCCGAGGAGCGCGCCGTCCGCATCGGGTCGCTCGAGCGCGAAATAGCGTCCCTTCGGGCGTGCGGCCTGCTGGCGGACGCGTTCCTGAAGGTCAAGCGCGGGCGTGCCCCCCCTCGCAGTGACTTCATTGCAGCGGCTGAAGTCCATCTCAACTTGCACAAGCAGGCGTACGGCACCAAATACGTGAAGCCCAAACACCACTACGTGTTTCACAACGCGGAGCAGGAGCCGAAAGAGCTCGACTGCTTCGTGACGGAGCGCCACAATAAGGCGGCAAAGGCGGTGGCCGAACCAGTGGAGAACACCGCGCGCATGGAGGCCACGACGCTCGCGGGCTGCGTATTGCAGCAAGTGCGGCAACTCGAGAAGATGGGGCCGACGGGCAACTCGCTGGTGGGAGCGCGTGCCGAATCTGACGGGTTGCGCCCCGTAGTCGGGGCCGCCGACGTCTCCGTGGCCAGGGGGCTGCGCTGGGAAGGGAACGCCTACAACGTGGGCCAGGTGGTTCGCTCGCGCGGCGGCGAGGTGTTTATCATCGACGCGTGCGCGGAGATTTCTGGCGAACTGCACATCGTCGCCCGCGGGATCGAGATCTCAACGGGCGCGTGCGGCCTCAGCACTGGCAGCGTGGTGAACGAGCTCCTCGTCATCAAGATGTCCGACGCTGACCTGGATGGCGCTGTCTGGGCGTGGCGCGTGAAGAGCAACGGTGACTATGTCATCGCGCACGCGCGCTGAGAAACATATGGAAACATGCGCCGCGCCGCGGTGTGTGTGTGTGGGGAGCGATGTCGATCGCTGGGTGAGGTGAAGCGATGCCGATCGCTTGGGTGAGGAGATGAGAGGAGGAGGATGAGGATGAGGAGGAGGAGGAGGGGGAGGGAGAAAGCGATGCCGATCGCTGGAAGGAGGGGGGGACGGAAAAGAAAATCGAGCGATGCCGATCGCTGGGTGAGGTGAAGCGACGTCGATCGCTTGAAGGAGGAAGAGGAGGAGGAGGAGGTGGCGGAGGAGGGAGGATAGCGATATCGATCGCTGGAAGATGGGCGGGGGGTGGGAGGAGGAAAATAAGATCACTGCGCGCAGCGCGCAACCGTTCAGCTTTGGCGCGCTGCTGCCCCTTGGGCTCGCGCGGGGCAGGCGCGATGCTGCCCCTGGCGGCCGCGCGCAAGCGCGCCTCGAGCTGGCCGAAGGCGGCCGCGCACGACGACGAGACGACGACGACGATGCGACGACGGCGACGAAGACGGCGACGAATGAGGCGAGCTTGCCCGAGCGGCTGCTCGGGGAGGTGGAGCAGCTGCGCGGGGAGGTCGAGCAGCTGCGCGCGGCGAACGCCCAGCTGCGGGCGGAGAAGGAGGAGGCGGATAAGACGACGACGACGACGACGAGACGACGACGAGACGACGACGACGACGACGACGACGACGACGACGACGACGACGGTGGCGGCGACGACGACGGCGGCGGCGGCGGCGACGACGACGACGACGACCCCCCCAGGTGGCGCGGCACTTGGCCCTCCAGATCGACATGCGCGACGTCGAGCTGGATCGGGCCGCCGAGCTGCTGAGCGTCGCGCGCCGCCGCGCCGCGGTGCATGCGGCGGCGCTGGCGCAGCTCAAGCAGGACGCGATGACGACCATCCGCCTGCAGAGGCTGCACGACGCCCCCGAGGCGGAGGCGGCCATGGCGTCGGCGGTGGTCATGGCCGACGCCCTGACGAAGCCGCCTCCGCCGCCGTGGCCCCCCCGTGAGGAGGGGCTCGCGGGCGGCGACGGGCGCCCAGGGTCGTCCACGGACGCCCTGACTGAGCCGCCCCCGCCGCCGCGGCCTGCGCCCCCGCAGTGAGGCGGCGCGAGGCTGCGCGCGCCAACAAGAAGCTTGGGGGGGGGGTATCGATGTCGATCGCTTGGGGGAGGTAGCGATGGCGATCGCTTGGAGGAGGAGGAGGAGGAGGAGGAGGAGGAGGAGGAGGAGGAGAGAGGAGGAGGAGGGCAGGAGGAGCAGGAGGAGCAGGAGGAGCAGGAGCAGGAGGATGAGGAGGAGCAGGATCTGCATGGGCAGCCAGGGGGCTGCGGAGGGAGGAGGAGGAGTAGCGATGCCGATCGCGATGTGCATGGGCAGCCAGTGGGGCCGCGGGATTTGCATAGGCAGCCAGGGGGGCTCGCGATCTCGATCGCCGCGAGGAGGAGGAGGAGGAGGATGAGGAGCAAGAGAGCGATGCCGATCGCTGGGGGAGGCGAAGCGATGTCGATCGCTTGGAAGGGGGAGGAGGCAGGAGAAGGAGGAAGAGGAGGATGACGATGATGAGGAGGAGGAGAGCGATGTCGATCGCTCGGGCGCGGGTGGGAATATGGGTGGAGCGATGGCGATCGCTCGGGCGGGCGTTGGCGACGATGGGCTCGCGATGACGGCGATTGCTCAGCCGTTTCGGCTCGCCTCGCGAGTGACGCACGGGGCGCTCGCGGCCAAGCGACGGCGCGCGCGCGCGCAGGAGGGGGCGCGTCATGGACGATCTCCCCTCGGAACCGCTGCCACCTGGGCTGGTCGGCGCGAAGCCGTCCAGTGTCCCGCTGCCGCGAGGCGGCCCGTGGCCGAATATGGCCAACGCGAAGTTCTTCAAGATGCCGTCGCCCGCCGCTTTCGTCGCGGCCACCTCCAAGGACGCGGCGCCGCCGCCGCCACCCAAGCGGCCGCGCCTCGAGGTTGCAGCCGTCGGCCGAGAGGGAGCAGGCAATGGAGGTCCAGCGTTCGTGGGAGTTCGAAAGCGCCACCGTGCGCCCTCCCACCGAGGATGAGCTGGTGGAGCTGCTCGCGTCCCTGGGCGGGGATGGGTGGAACGACTCCAGCGTCCTCAGGCGGCTCCAACAGCAGGCCGAGCTGCAGGCGTTGAGCGAGGCGGAGGCGATCTGCTTGACCGCCTTCCGCGACGGGCAGGGCGGCGAGGCGGCCCCTGAGGGTGAGCCCCCTGCGCGGTGAGGAGGCCGCGCGTACACTGAGGACGCGGCCGCGCGCGCTGAGGAGGCCGCGCGCCCCGCCGCGCTCATCACTCTCCTCCCCCCCTCCCCCCCCTCACAGCGATCGACATCGCTCTCCTCCTCCTCCTCCTCCCAAGCGATCGCGATCGCTTCATTTCCCTAAGTAACTTATAAGTATCTTATAGTGTTAGCTTAAGTAACTTAAGAACATCAACTTAAGTTACTTATAAGTATCTTAGTAAGTACCCATAAGTAGCTCATGTAAGTAGCTATGTTACTTGCGATACTTATACATAGGGTGCAACTAGCGTAAGAGCCACCATTCTCGAAGCGGCGCCCCGCAGGCGTGGCCCGGCGCCCCCCCCCGCCGCGGCGATGCCGACGCGGGCCGGCCGCTCCACGCGGCGGGGGGCCGCAGCCCCCTCGACGCGGGGGGGGGCGCGGCGGCCGCGGCCGCGGCGGCTCAGCGCCCCGCCGGCTGCCGCGCGGCGGCGCAGCCTCGGGGCGTGGCGGCCCGGGGCGTGGCGGCCCCGCCAGCGGCGGGGCGCGGGCGGCTGGCCGCGGCCGCGGCCGCCTGGGCCTGCTGGTGCCGCAGGGCGGCCGCGGCCAGCTGGCGCCCGAACCTGTGGAGGGCCGAAGGGCCGCCCTCACAGCAAGCGCCCCAGCAAACGAAGCCCTTCGGGGCAAGCGCATCTGAAGGGACCGAACAGGGCGGGGCTGTCTAGCAGACGCCCAGGGCCGTTCAGGGAGCGCCAACTGTGGGGCCAGGGTGGTCTTCCCCTCCCTTGAACCTGCCCTCCATGGCTTGAGGAGAGAAAACTGCATCAACACAGACTTTCGGAGCTCCGCGCAGACTTCTTGGGTCGGCACGCTGGGACCCTCCTCGCTGGCGCGCGGAGCGCACCAGGGGCAGCGCAGGAGGCGTCGCCAAGGGGGGCCCAGCGCCGATCCCAGAAATCCGCGCGGAACTCCGAAAGCTCATGCTGGCGCCGCTTTGTTCTTCCCCGAATGGCGGCGGACTGCCACCAGGCGAGGGCGATCGCCTGCGAGCACCTGGCCTGCTGGAACAGCGCCGCCGAGAAGAGGTGCTTGCGGCTCCGCCGCGCCGCGGTCACCTGATCGACAATCGAAAACGGGTCTTGCGCCCGATGGCATGGCGGCCTGACGCGGTGGCTTACGCGGGCCGCCAGCGCGGCACGCTGCCTTCGAGACGAGGGCGCCCGACCTGACGCGGGCAACTCACGCGCGGATGCCCGAGCAGTCGGCCCCGTTTCCATCCGCCGCGACCACCTGGCGCTCGAGGCCGGCGCTGCAGGCGGCGCGCCGCCAGGCCGCCAGCAGGCGGGCGTGGCAGGCTCGAGCCCGCTGCACAGCCAGGAGGCTCAGTGTCCGCTCCGCGGCAGCAGAGTCCGGCGCCCGCGGGCGGGTCAGCTGGGCAGGCTGGGCGCGAAGTGCCTCTACGGCCTCCACGGCCTCTACGATGTCGATGCCGGTCCGGGCCGTGTCCGCCGCAGCCTGGGGATTGGCTTCTGACATGCAGATAGGGTTGCAGGGAGTGCAGTCGTTCTGTACGGTAAAGGTGAGCGGTGAGGATGCAAGGGCCTTGGAAAGCCATGTTGACGTTTTCCGAGTGGGGCTGGCCAGCGAAAGTTGCCAGGGAGGGGCCGAGGGGGCAAAAATACAAGGGTAACCTTGGAAAATCGCTCATCCTTACTATGCGGGTTGACTGTGGTGACGGGGAGGCGAAATCGGAAATACAAAACTCTGCGCTGGCAACTGGAAATGGAACATGAACGGCCCTCCCGCTTCCAGCACCCAGTAGGTCGGGACCAGTCCAGGGGGCTGGTGGTGGCGATGCAGTGGAAATGAATGCCATCGGTCCCCGAGCGGGCTTCCACATGTAGGAAAACAAATAACCAAATGTGACTCACGACGACCAGACGGTCAGAATTCATCATAGTCAGCATTGTCTTCACAGGCACTGTTTCCCACAAGCACCCTGGCGTTCAGTGGTACCCAGCAAGGCCAGCGGTGCTCGTAAGCACGGTGTCGCTCACTAGCACTACGCCCTGTGGCGTTCACAGACAAAGTGGTGGTCAGTTGCACTGATGTGTGAAAACACTTGCTCGTATCAGCAGCCATTACAGCGGCAAGAGTGGTCGTAGTCGTAGTGGCATCGCTTCGGAATCCGCATGTTGGGGTTGCCAGGGGCATGGGGATGTCACCGCCGCCGTGATCGCGCAAGCATCGCCAACCGAGCGGCAGTGCAGGTCGAAACGCCACTTGCGACTTCGGAGAGCAAGCGGGCCAGGTCACCAGGACGAGGAGGCTGGAGACGCACATGCGGAGGCCACCTCCCGGAGACACACACTCGAGAGCGGCCAAGAGGGGGGTGTCCAAGAGGGGGGGTGCAAATCATGACCAGCGGCATGTGCGCGGCCCAGCGGGGGGGCCAGGGACGTCATGAAATAAGAAGAGGCGCCATGAGATCTGGGGAAATATCAGGGCCCACGCCATGATATCCCCCCCCCTATTCATCACCCCCCTCTTTTCCGCCCCCGACGCACATGTGGAGGCCACCTCCCGGAGGCACACAGGATCACCCCGCCCAGTCCCGGTATGGCCAGGCGCCTGGCCATACCGGGACTGGGCGCCGGAGAGGCTCGCGGCCACGCGCCACTCCAGCTCTCGCCCAGCCCGGGCCAGCCGCGCCGCGTGCACGGCGCGGCTGGTGTCGTGACGGCCACGGCGTCGGTGCCTGACACTGCGTGGGTGGGGCAGCCTCGAACGATCGCCAGCCTACCGACCACCAGATCTCAGCATGAAGGAGCGCGCCCGTGGCGCACACTTCCCACTACAAGGGGGGGCCCCAGCTCCAAGCTACCCCCACCGTCCCTTGGGAAAGGGGGGGGGCTTCCGAAGCTATTCTTCCTCCCTCTTCTCGAACGATAGGCGATCTACAGACGGTTGAGGGAAACAATTAAGCAACACTCCCCCCTCCCCCGCAATTCAAAGTTGACAGGTTTTCGCAAGACCGCTCGGAGGCCCAGAATCGGAAGATCGGAAACCCGCATTGCATTTGGGGAGAGGGGGGGAGGTTCAAACCAGATGTTCTGCATGAGTGTTGCTTAATTGCTTCCGACACCTGTAGTCCTGGCCGCATCTTGCAAGCTTCGTGTGACCTTCTTGGGGCTATGTTGCCCTGCATTGGAGCGTCAAGCCAGGGGTGCCTGGAGGCACGCTTGAAAGGTCGTCGCACTCTCTTGGGGTCTTGGATCGTGCTGGGTCTGTTAGGGGGTCTTGGATCGTGCTGGGGTCTTGGATCGTGTTGGATGAGCAGCTCTCTCCGCCTGGGGCACTGGCGGCGTTGCACCTCGAGCGCCCGTGGCGGGGCCGCCGCCGCGCCGGCACGCCGCGAGCCCTGCGCGCCCGCGCCTCCCGGCAGCACAACCCCGGCACTCGACTCCCAGGAGAGGCGCGCGGCCAGGCTGCGGTGCGGGCAGCCGCCGCAGAGCCATTGCACAGACGCTCGGCGGCGCGCACAGGGGGGCAGGGGGAGGGGGGAAGGCTTCTTCGAAGGCGGCACGAGCCTTGCGTGCCCCGCCTCCCAGCAGCAGCCCCGGCACGACTCCCGGAGAGGCGCGCGGCCAGGCTGCGGTGCGGGCAGCCGCCGCAGAGCTATTGCACAGACGCTGGGCGGCGCGCACAGGGGGGCAGCTCGCCATCGCTGGGACGTCCATTCCCTGTGCATTTTTCGGCTTCGTGCGTGCATTCTTTCGCAGCGTGCACTGAAATGCTCCTCGATGGCCCCTGCCAATACAAAATGCACACGTCCGAGCGATGCCAAGGGACAGCAGCCGCAAAGTTATTGCACAAACGCTCGGCGGCGCGCACGGGGAGGCAGGGGGAGGGGGGAAGGCTTCTCAGAGGGCGCGGGCCTCACGTCTGCAGAGGGGGCCCGCGCCCTCTGCGAGGCAGGGGGTGCTGCTGAGAAGCCTTCCCCCCAACCCCTGATTGACCCCCTCTGCGAGTGTGACTGAAACGCGCAACGACAGCTGCGTCATGAACGCGCCAGCGGTGCCCAGCCACATGCACCGGGCGAGCCCAGAATCGCCCGGGGTCCCAGCTGCGGCAGGCGAGAGCCCCCACGCGGGGCCCCGGCCAGCGCAGACCGACCAGAACGGGCGTCGCCGCGGCAGCGTGGCAAGGCCGCCCTGCGCGTGCGGCCGCGACGCGGACCCTGGGTCGCCTCACTCCTGCGCATCGCGCCCCGCGATGCGCGACGCGCGGGCATCTTCGCGCGCTCGCACACGAGCGCCGCCACCTCGAGGAAGGACAGCCGCTCCGGCCCAGGCCGCGGCGCGCGAAGCGCGACTCGCTTCCCGCCACTGGGGGGGACCCAGGCAGCGAGGCTGCCCTGCGCACGCGGCCGAGGCACGGGCCCGAGACTGGAGGCTTCCTGGATGGGGGCGGAGTTAAAATGGGGTCGAATGGTCGCACCGCATCGCCGATGCGTCGTCGCCGTGGGCGATGCATCGGTGACGTCGACGTGAAGCAAGTCGGGCTCCACATCGAGCCGCATCGGCACTGCGCTGGCGATGCGGCGCGATCCTCCGACCCCATCTGCTCCGACCCCATCGGGGAGGCCTAGAGAGGCGCGGACCCCAGTGAGGCAAGCAGGCGGCGTCCTGCGCAGCCGCGGCAGCCTCGGCGGCGGCCTCCGCCGCGCGGCAGCGCCGCTCGAGCTCCGAGGCGCGGCGCCGCTCGCCCGCCGCCTCCGCCCTCGCCTCCTGCAGCCCCGAGCGCGCGGCCTCCCGCGGAGAGCGCCGAGTGCACACCGACGTACGAAGGATTGCAACGAAGGATTGCAAAAAAACCTTCGTTTTTTGCAATCCTTCGTTTTTGCAATCCTTCGTTTTTTGCAATCCTTCGGTCGCCCGACTTCGCGCACGGCGCCCCGCGAGGCGCGACGCCCGGCTGTCTTCGCGCCCTCGCGCCGCCGCCGCTGGAGAGGGGCAGGCGCGCCCCCGGGTCGCCGAATTAGCTTCGCGCATTCGCACCCCGCGACGCGCGACGCCCAGTCGGCTTCGCGCCCTCGCGCCGCCGCCCTGGAGAAAGACGCCTCTCCAGCCCAATCCGTCGTGCGCGAAGCGCGATGATCATCGCGCCCCTGGGGGTGACTCGGGTACACGAGGTCACCCAACTTCGCGCAACGCGCCACGCGAGGCGCGACGCGCGGCTGCATCCGCGCCCTCGTGACCTCGCGCTGCCGCCCCTGGAGAAGGGCAGCCGCTCTGGCCCAGGCCGAGACGCGCGAAAGGCGGCTGTTTTCGCGCCCCGGGGGGGTGACCTAGCCCAACACCGATCCTGGCCAGGGTGGTCCTGCGCCCAGGACCGGCGCATACGCCCACCTGGCTTGGCCAGAGAGGCGTATTCACCAGTCCCTGGCTCAGGTCTGGGCCAGCCCTAGATCGGCGGTGTGCATGCAGACGGCGAGGGCACTGGGTCATGAACCCTGCGATACTGAACTCCAAGGTCTGCAGGCCAGCGGAGCGCCAGTTGAGGCCTGGCTATGAGTATCCCCGCCGCCCCTGTCATACGAGGAGTCGTCCAGGGTCCGAAACCTCCTCGGCACATTCCTTAACGAACGCCCCTCTTGGGCCGTCTTGTGGCGATCTCGGGGGCCTCTTGGGCCCTCTTGGGGCCCCCTTGGGCTGTCTTGGGGCCCTCTTGAGGGCCTCTTGAGGGCCGCCTTGGGCCGGTCTTGGGAGCCCCGTGGGACGCCGTGGAGCGTCGGAAGCTCGAGAAGCCGAGAGCACCACCGTGGCCGGCGCCCATCAGACGCTTCCCGACCCTGCCGCCGCCTGCGCCTCCGCCCTCGCCCCCTGCAGCGCGGAGCGCGCGGCCTCCTCCCGCCCCGCGGCGTCCGCCGCCGCGGCCGCCGCCGCGGTGCGCGCCTCCTCGAGCTCCTCGCCGGCTGCACGCGGGGAGCGGCCCTGGGCCGCAGGGCGCTGGCGTTTGCGCGAGGCGCGGTTCCCTTCGCACCTCTGGGGGTGGCCTGTGCACCCCCGCTTCCCCAGACATCCCTAGTCGTCCGCCCTGACTCCTCCGTGCACGCGGGGAGTGACATCTGGCCCGCGGCTTCGGGGGAGCCGATGCGAGGACCAAAGCTCGTCCTCCATCCTCGTAACTGCTGCAGGCTTCTTAGACGGATGCGCACGGCGCCGAGGCGAGGGCCCCGACTTAAGACCGCCCCCACCCTCCATCCTTGCAACTGCTGCAAGCTCTGAAAACGACTGTGCGCGGCGCTGAGGCGAGAGCTCCACTTTGAAAAGCGCCTGCCCTCCACCTGCGCGCAGGCTGGTGCTGGAAGGACCCCTGCGGGCCCGCACCAGAGAAAGGCACTCCGCCGCATGGCCACCCTTGCGCGCAGCCGAGATCGGGGGGACCGAGAGGTAATTCCAGTGCACCTTCGTCCTTGGTACGTCAATGTTTATGTAATCTGGACGGTACCCCACGCAACTGGGTGGAACACCGGCGGCGCGGCCGGCCCAGACAGCAGTGGGCTTCCCAAGTGTACGAGATGACGCAGCACATCTGAGGCCCCACCTCCCCCGTCCTTGTCTTCCTCCCCTCGCCTTGTTTTTTCCCTTTTTCCCTCTACGTGTACCTCGGAGCAGTATGGTGTTCCATTTTCTGCTTCACAGTCGCGTTGCGCTCCGCTGCCTGCTTCACAGTCGTGGGGCGCTCAGCGTTCTCGCTCTCGGTTGCAGTTCTTCTGAAGAGTCGCCAATTGCGCGCTCTTCCGCCCACGCGTCCTACCGGATGCACGGCTTAGTGGTGGTGGTGCTACATCCTCAGACCAGAACCTCGAGGAGGATCCAGCTGTGGCGACGAGAGCTCTCCAGAACGAGCAGCGACATCGGCACCTCGCGAGGCCGCCCCGCCCAGGCTGGACCGCCTGCGCGGGCAAGGCAGCAAGGAAGCACCACGGGTGTGGGCACGCGGCATCAGCCGTCAGAGGACGAGGCAGCCTTCGCCCCACCTTCGTGACGGTATCGGCATCTTTCTTGGGCACGCGGAGGGGGCGGGGGCTACCTCGTCGCCCGCAGCGTCGGTGCGCCCGCGCACTGGCCCGTGCGCGGGCAGGCACGAGAGAGAAGCACGGCGAGCGCAAGACAGGGAATACAGTCGACCCGTGTCATAAGGCTGCGCGAGGAGGAGGCCAGGGCCCTGGACGCCCCTTTCGAAGCTTCTCGAGCGGGGCGCGGCCGACGAGAGTGGTCAGGGATGGACCGAGGAGGCAAGGCTGCAAGGGGCACCCTTTTGGGAAGGCGGCCCATCCTCACCTTGCGGCCGACTGCACCTCCAGACCACGAGAGCACGACGGGAAGTCACCGCCCTCGGCGGCCGCCGCCGCGCCGACTGGTGGCGGGGCCCGAAGAGAGGCGCGCCGCCGCACGCCCGCGGCGCGCGGAGGAGAGAGGAGAGAGGAGGAGGAGGAGGAGAGAGGAGGAGGTGGAGGAGGAGGAGGAGGAGGAGGAGGAGGGAAGAGGAGGAGGAGGAGGAGGAGGAGGAGGAGGAGAGAGGAGGAGGAGGAGGAGGAGGGAGGAGGAGGAGCCGTGGACGCCGTGTCCCGAGGAGGAGGAGGAGGAGGAGGAGGAGGAGGAGGAGGGGAGGAGGAGGAGGAGGAGAGGAGGAGGAGGAGGAGGAGGAGGAGGAGGAGGAGGAGGAGGGAGGGAGGAGGAGGAGGAGGAGGAGGAGGAGGAGGAGGAGGAGGAGGAGGGGGGGGCGCACAGCCTGGCGGAACCGCGGGTCGGGGCCCTGGGCGCCCGCCGCGGGCGGCCAGGGGCCGTCGGTAGCTTCGCAGTTCGCGCGCACGGCGGCGGGCCCGAGCTCGAGGAGGAGATCGAGGAGCGCGAGCGCGAGGAGCGCGGCTCGAGGAGGCGATCGAGATCGAGGAGGAGATCGAGATCGAGGAGAGCGAGGAGCATAGGGGGCTCGAGGCTCGAGGCCCGAGGAGGCTCGGGGGAGCGCGGGGCGAGCCTCGAGGCTCGGAGAGCTCGAGGAGAGCACCACGACCGCGTCGGCACCTTCCCCTCCCCCCGAGGGCGCCTCGCGGGCGCGCCTCCCGGCCTCCCGCGCCCAGGCCCCGAACGGCGCCGCCAGGCCCAGCCAGGCGGCCCTCTCGGCCGCCGCCCGCGCCAGCCGCGCGGCGCCGCGCCGGGCGCCCCGCACCTCCTCGGCGCCGACGGAATGCTCGCCCTCGCTCGGGCGTCCATGTCCCATGTGTGTCGATGTCGTGCGTGTTGCTTCGGTCTCGTTGTGGATTGCGCGTCGACTTCGATCTCGAGTGCCTGTCCATGTCACGCCGATTTCGATTTCGTGCGTCTTGTCCAGATCCGCCCAAAAAGCCTCCCACGTGCCCCCAAGAGTTCTCCAAAGGCCCCAGAGTGGCTCCCAATAGACCCTCAGATTCATCCAGGAGGCTCCTAACCCGCGATCTAACTTTCACGATCGTCTCTAACATTCACTCCTTGTGGGGTTCGACGGAATGGCGTAAGCCACTTGAATATATACAGCCGGAAATATGATCAAGGAAGATATCACGTAAGAAAGCTGTGCCAGCTTCCCGGAAGTTTCCTGAAACAAACCTGGACCAATTTCTGTTGTTGACGCTGGAGAGGCGACTGTGCTCCAGAAGCTGGGCCAGATTTCCGGCCGATTGCCTCGCCATCGCTCGGACGTCCCTTCCCTGTGCATTTTTCGGTGTCGTGCGTGTTCTGTTGGCCCGATGGTCGAGGATGCTTCTCGATGGCCCCAGCCGAGAAAAAATGCACACGCCCGAGCGATGCCAAATTGCTCAAGAAGCGCTGACCCAGCTTTCTGGGAGGGGGGGGGTTCTCAATAAGATGCTCGACTGTATGTCCAAGTCCGCTGCCGCGGGGACGTGCCCTAGGGACTCGGGGCGCGGTGGGTGTGGACATCTGCCCACCAAAGGGGCGGGCAGAAACCCACATCCACCGCTCCTCCAGAGCTTGGCGGCGCGCGAAAAAGGGGGTAGGGGGAGGGGGGAAGGCCTCTTTAGACGGAGGCTGCTTCCCAGCAGACGTGGGCCCTACATCCACAGACAAGGCCCGCGCCTTCCAGGAAGCAGGGGTGCTTCTGAGAAGCCTTCCCCCCTCCCCCTACCCCACTCTGCGCGCGGCTGAAGATCCCAAGGCACGACTCCGAGGCGGTGGATATGGACATTAGAATGACGGGGCCGAACGGTCATTCACTGTCCCTGGGCGCATGGCTGAAGCGAGGTTCCAGGGTGCGGATGGTTGTTGCTGTTGCGCTGTTTGTTGGCGTCGTCCCGCCCGCGACCCGGCCCGCGACCCGGCCCGCGACCCACTCGCGACCCACCCACCTTGCTCGGACTGGCGATTCTCGGCGCCTGCGGCCCCCCTCGCTGCATGAGCTGTGAGAGCTGGGCGCCCGCGGCGGGCTTCTTTCAGGGCCCCGCGGACTGCCGACGTCCCCGCCGCCGCCCCCCCCCCCACCTCCTGCCCCGCAACTGCGGGGTGCTACGGGCGCTCTGGCGGCGGAGCTCCTCGAGGCTCGAGGCGCGGCGGGCCTCGCGGCACCACGCGGCCAGGGGCGCCGCCAGGGCCAGCAGCGCCTGCCCGCCGGCGCTTCGCCGGAGGGCGCGGGCGAGCCCGGCCTCACGGGGCTCGACCCCAACGGTGTTCGTCGTTTTCGTCTCGGCGGCGAGCCCAGGGGTGAAGTGAGAGGGGGCGGGCCTTCTCAGAGGGCCGCGGGACTTCTCAGGAGCCCTCCAGTCTTCTGAGAAGCCGTTTCTCTGAGAAGGCTTAGAAAGCTTCTCAGAAGCGGCGAGGACTTCTGAGAAGTTCCGCCCATTTTTGAGAAGGCCTGCCCCCTCTCACTTCCCCCCTGGACTCGCCGCCAGCCCACGCAGGCGGAAACCGATCTCTTGGGTGTTGCCAGAGCGGTTCTGGCCCGAGGTGCTCCCAGCTTTTCGCGCCATTTTGGGGCCTCCGGGGCCCTCTGGGCGTCGCGAGGCTTGCTCTGGAAGCCATCTGCGCCTCCCTGGGAAAGCTGGGGCCACCGTGGGCCAGAGCCGCTTCTGGCAACGCCAGGACACCCTCCGGGCATCTGCCGATCTCTCGGCGACTCATGCAGAGACCTGCCACCGCACATCCTGGCACGCTGTGGCGCGTGAGAGTGCCTGGAGGCGGAACGGCCAAGCTTCTCTGGTTTTCTACAGGGCGACCCGCCCTGCTCACACGCCCCCCGGATCCCCCTGAAACTTGATCGACCCACGAACCCGGAAAGGACTATAGAAGTGTGAGGCATGGCAACGTTTTCAAAACACCTGATTGGGCGACGGGCAATTGCAATGCTGAGTGTATCGATTTTGATGTACCGTGCCAAGAAATGTGCTGTGCTGCGCCGTGCTGAATTGCGATGTGCCATGCCGCGATTGTGCTCTCTAGCGTTGTGGATCGAGCCCTCCTATGCTTTCAAGTCCTGACACAACTGATCTGGATCTTAAGCTCGAGCTACCTGAGCACATAATAGCTGCCCCAGAGCTAGTTGAAGTGGAAAAGTGCGGGACGTTCAATCAACTCGACCTAAAAATCCGACTCAGCTCCGAAAAGGAACGACACGATACGGGGCACACGCTCACGGACGCGCCACAGGATGTGCCATGGGCACAATAAGGGATGCGCCAGGGGGCGTGCCAGGAGACGTATCAGGGGACGTGCTCTGAACGTGCCAAGGATCTGCCACAGGACGTGCAATGGGGCGAACAAAGGACGTTACGTCCAGGGACGTTGCAAGGGGCGCGACACGGAACGGGCAGGGGAAACGCCTGGGGACGAGACAGGACACGCGACAAAGGACGAGCCAGGGAACGTGCCACGCCGAATGGCGTGCTAGGGGACGTGCCAAGGCACGTCACGACAGAACGTCGCAAGGGACGCGCCAGGGGGCGCGCCAGCGCGCTGGGGGACCCCCCACGAACGGGCGGGCGGGACTGCGATGCACTCCACTGCGACAAGCGTTTCGCTCGAGACGTTCGCAACACCTCCTCATGCCAGGCATCTGCGTGGGCAAGCTGGACGCGCGAAAACAGGCGCTTCGTTCGAGGCATCCTCAACACATCTTCATGCCAGACATCCGACTGGGCGACCTGGACAAATGAAACCAAGCGTCTCGCTCGAAACGTTCTCGACACCTCCTCATGCCAGGCATCTACCTGGGCAAGCTGGACGCGTGAACACAAGCGCTTCGCTCGAGACATCCTGCCTAGATACCCGCCTGGGCGACTTGGACACGTGAAAACACGCGCTTCGCCCAACAGATCCTCAACACAGCATCATGTTAGACATCAGCCTGTGCGACCTGGACACGTGAAGACAAGCGGCTCGCTCGAGACATCCTCAACACATCTTCATGTTAGACATCCACCTGGGCGACCTGAACGCGTGAAAACAAGCGTTTCGCTCGAGACGTTCTCAACACCTCCTCATGCTAGGCATCTGCCTGGGCAAGCTGGACGCGCGAAAGCAAGCGCTTCGTTCGAGGCATCCTCAACACGTCTTCAAGCTAGACATCCGCCTGGGCGACCTGGACACGGAAAAAACAAGCGCTTCGCTCGAGACGTTCTCTACACATCGAGAGTAGATCTCAATCGAGAATTTTGACACCACGCTATGACACTACGCTAACTTCACTAGCGTTATGTCAAAACCAAGCGACTGTGACACTACGCTATGACACTGCACTAGCTTTACTAGCGCTGTGTCAGAGCCAAGCGACTGTGACACTACGCTATGACACTACACTAGCTTCACTAGCGTTGGGTCAGAGTCAAGCAAAACCCTAAGGAAAAGCAAACAAAAAAAGCTCTTCCTTCTCCCAACACTAACTGTAGCGTAATGTCACACCCAGGTGTCCCCAACACTACGCTATGACACCAAGATAACCGTAGCGTAGAATCTGTCACGGAGCAGAGTCCAGCGAGGCAAAACCTAAGGAACAGCAATCAAACAAAAACTCTTCCTTCTCCCCCATATCAACCGTAGCGTAGTGTCATCGTGTAGCGTCACACCCGGAATGGAAGAGGATTCTACGCACAGCAAGCCACAGCAAAACCACGGCACACCAGAGCAAAACCACAGCAAACCACAGCTGAACCATAGCTCAACCACAGCACGCCACAGCAATCCACAGCAAAACAACAGCAAAACCACAGCAAAACCACAGCAACACCACAGCACAACCACGGCAAACCACAGCTGACCACAGCAAACCACAACAAAACCGCAGAAAACCAAAGCAAACCACAGCAAACCGCAGCAAAACCATAGCCAACCATTGCAAAACTGGGAGCATTGGGAAAGGTGTCCACAAAACTACGCTATGACACGACGCAAACCGTAGCATAGAACCCTCGTTCACGGAGCAGACTCAAGCAAAACCCTAAGGAAAAGCAAACAAAAACAACTCTTCCTTCTCCCCCACCTCAACCGTAGCGTAGTGTCACACCCAAATGTCCGCAACACTACGCTATGACACCACGCTAACCGTAGCGTAGATACCCCTTTCCCGGAGCCGACTCACGCAAAACCCGACGGAAGGCAAACAACAAAAGAAACGCTTCCTTATCCCCCCGCTTCAACCGTAGCGTAGTGTCATAGTGTAGCGTCACACCCAAATGTCTCCAACACTACGCTATGACACTACGCTAACCGTAGCTTAGTGTCACAATGTAGTGTCAAACCGAAGTGTCCGCAACACTACGCTATGACAATACGCAAACCGTAGCGTAGTGTCACAATGTAGTGTCGCACCCAAGTGTCCGCAACACTACGCTGTGACACTTCGCTAACCGTAACGTAGTGTCATAGCCAGTTGTCTCCAACACAACACTGTGACACTACGCTAACTTTCCTTTGTCCGCAACACTACGGTATGTCACTACGCTAACCGTAGCGTAGTGTCACAGTGTAGTGTCACACCCAAGTGTCCGCAACACTACGCTATGACACTACGCTCACCGTAGCGTAGTGTCATAGCCAGCTGTTTTCAACACAACACTATAACACAACGCTAACTTTCTCTTGTCCGCAACGCTACGCTATGACACTACGCTAACCGTAGCGTAGAGTCACAGTGTAGTGTCACACCCAAGTGTCCGCAACACTATGCTATGACGCCACGCTAACCGTATCGTCGTGGTGTCATAGCCAGTTGTCTACAACACAACACTATGACACAACGCGAATTTTACTTTCTGCACGATGAAGAGTTCAAGTTCGCGATTCAGATTAACTGTCCAACACATCCTCAAGCTAGACATCCGCCTGGGCGACCTGGGCACGTGAAAACAAGCGTCTCGCTCGAGACATCCTCAACCTATCCCCATGCTAGACATCCGCCTGGGTGGCCTGGACACGTGAAACCTGGCGTCTCGCTCGAGACATCCTCAACAAATCCTCATACTAGACATATGCATGAGCAACCTGGACGCGTGAAACCAAGCGTCTCGCTCGACACATTTTCAAGACCTGGGTACGTGAAAACAAGCATTTCACCTGAGACATCCTCAGAATTCTGGTCCCCAAGAGAGGAACGATCTACAACACAAAACAAGCGATTCGCTCGAGACATCCTGAACACTTTCTGCTAAACAATCGTATCGCTCGAGACATTCGCAACAAACGAACATGTGTAGTTCACCATCTGCGTTATCGACCGGAATTTAAAACGAAAAACAGCGTCTCGCTCGGGAGATCCTCAACCTTTTGATTCGCCGGCCCTGCACGACCTCATTGTTTATCGCAGATTAATTTCGCCGGCCCTACACAAGTCGAGACTGGGGGGAAACAGCTAAACATGATCGACCCACGAACCTGGAAGAAAATACAGAAATGTAAGGCATGGCAACGTTTCAAAGACACGCTGAGTGTATCGATCTTGATGTACCGGGCCGACGGCTGTGCTGCGCTGCGCCGTGCTGAATTGCGATGTGCCATGCCGCGATTGTGCTCCATAGCGTTTTGGATCGAGTCCTCCTCTGCATTCGAGTCCTGACCGAAATGATCTGGAACTTAAGCTCGAGCTGCCTGAGCACATGGTAGCTGTCACAAAACTAATTGACAGAGGGGGCATGCCAGGAGGACGCGCCTGGAACGTCCCAAGGGACGCGGCAGGCGACGTGCCAGGGGACGTGCCAAGGGGACGCACCGCGGGACGTGCCAAAGGGACGCGCTACAGAACGAGAGGACAATCAATAAAACAAGCGTTTCGCTCGAAATACCCTCAACAAATTCTGAACATGATGGACCCACGAACCCGGAAAGGGATATAGACATGTGGAGCATGGACACGTTTTCATGACACCCAACCGGGCAACACCTCACGAAACATCCCACGAAACACCTCACGAAACAGCCCACGAGACACCTCACGAAACATTCCACGAGACACCTCGCGAAACATTTCACGAGACACCCCGCGAAACATTCCACGAGACACCCCACGAAACGTCCCACGACGACAGGCAACCACTCAACCAAGGCGGTGTGGTCATGCTGGGGAGTGGTCGTGCTGGGGGGTGGTCGTGCTGGGGGGTGGTCGTGCTGGGGGGTGGTCGTGCTGGGGGGGTGGTCGTGCTGGGGGGTGGTCGTGCTG